TGAGGTTGAGATTGCATTGTATCATGTGAGAGATGAGACTCACTTATGCTTTATCTATGGATCTATTGAGATATGATCTTTATTATCTGTGGCTTGTGGACTTGAGAAAATGTGTAATGAGTGCTATGTGTGGCATACATGTGTTGTATTTATTTTTCATAAGGTCTATGCATGATAGAATGAAAATATTTGATGTGATATCTTTATATTTATTCTTGTGTGATATATCTTGTCATATGCATCACAATTCTATTTTGTCACACACACATGCACCCCACGGATGCAATGATTTAGGGGGAGCCTCCTATTTGTTTTAGTATGTGCAATTGACAAGTTGAGGTCATTTTGTGAATTCCAATCACAAGCACATATTAAGGGGGAGCCTCTTATAAATCATTGAACCCAAAAGCTTAAATGTTTATATTCTTTTGTAAGCTTTAATCAAGTTGTCATCAATCACCAAAAAGGGGGAGATTGAAAGTGCATCTAGCCCTTTAGTGGGTTTTGGATGATTGAATGACAACGTGATTAAAGGTCTAACCCGTTTGCTAAGTGTGGACAGGTAATAGGTTATCTCACAGGTACTTAATGAAAGCCAAAATGATGTGTTGTTATATAAACAATCTAGTTCAAGCACACGACAACAATGCAAATGGATTTCATGCAAAGGCTTATTTGTTGTGGGATTTCTATGTGCTATGAGAAAGCAAGCTCTTAAGTATTAATTAATGAAACATGAGGGATTGCATATGGAATGATCTCATATTTGAAGCTTGCTAAATTGAAATGAAAAAGACAACAATACAAATGAATGGATGATTCAACACAAGATGTGACTTGATGGCTTGAGATGGTGAAGATAGCAAGGAAAGACTTCGAGGTACTAAGCAAGGGTGAAGGGCAAGCGATGGCTTGGCGGCCGAAGAACCTAGCTAGGGTGAAGAAGAAAGTACTTGCATTTAGTTGAGGTACTAATCAAGCTACGATGGTCATATTGATGTGAACATATTGATGTGAAGGATCAAATCACTATTGGAGTGTTTGATAGAAGTGACTTGATACATTTGGGATTATTCAAATTTGATGAATGGAATAAAGTCACGTGCTCAAGATGGCTATGCTCAAGTGAAAAAGATCAATATCAACATGTTGGCACCCTCACTTGATGAAGATTGGAATACACGGCTTCGGATAAAAAACAAGAGCAACTCAAAAGGTTTAAATCCGTTATACTTTTAAATTTGAGTAAATAGGAATGTCGTACTATTAAGAGGGATGCATCATGTTGATAGATAATGTTTCATAAGTGCTCAAGCCAACCCAAGTGAGTTTTGAGTATTTGAGGGACAAAAGAGCTAACTTTATTTTTGCTGGTCTGGCAATACCGGACGTGTCCGGTATTTACCCAGTAGTTGTAAAATTGTTGTTCTCGGGTTGGTTCGTCGGGAGTTCCGACGTAGGTCGGGAGTTCCGGCAAGGGTCGGGAGTTCCGATGTCTCGCACTTTAACTGACTTGGAGGGTTTACTGTCCTGGTCATACCGGACGTGTCCGGTATACACGACCAGAGGCCAACGGCTAGTTTTCCAAAGCCTTGAGGGTCGGGAGTTCCGGCATGCATCGGGAGTTCCGACACCTCACTAACTTTAACTCAGTTACATGGTTTTCAAATTTGCTGAGGATCGGGAGTTTCGACGTGAGTCGGGAGTTCTGGATGTCGGGAGTTCCAGCATTCATCGGGAGTTCCGACACCTCACAACTTCACTGTAACTTAGTTACCGTTGGGGCAATGTAAGTCATACCGGACGTGTCCGGTATTGCAACGGCTATAAAACGGCTAGTTTTTCAAGGGGGCTATAAATACCCCCAAGCCTCCACCTTTGGAGGCTGCTGATTCTGCTGAGATAGACACACGTTTTTGAGCCTTGCCAACTCTCCTAAACCCTCTCTTAGTGAGTGTATGATCCAAATTGCAAAATCAATTTGTGGGTTAAGAGAGAATTTAAAAAAGAGAGCAAGTCACCACTTGAGCACTTGTGCATATTGTCAATCTCGTGATTCGCATTTGTTACTCTTGGACTCTTCGGTCCTAGACGGTTAGGCGTCGCCGGAGAGCACCCGAGAGATTGTGGTGTGCCTCGGAAAGTTTATAACGGTCGATTCTGCCGCCTCGGAATCAAATTAGTGGAAGGAGGAAAAGGAGTTGGAAAAGACTCCGGCTAGAGTGACCTTCGTGGTACCCTCTAGGGCTGACCTTCGCTGGGTCGCCCGCAGCTCCCTCAACGGAGAGTAGGACTCGAACGAGTCCGAACTTCGGTAAAACAAATATCGTGTCTTAATTCGCATTTCATTTGATATTTGTGTTGCTCTAGCTATTCTGCATGTTCTCTGTGTATATTGTCATCTCCATTAGGTGCCTGTAGTTTGGTTTGAAGATAGAAATCAAAAGGAGCAAGTTTGGGGCCGATCTGCAGAAATCGTGTATACCGGACACGTCCGGTATTTCCTCCTGCACTGAAAATATTTATTCTCTGTTCTAACTTGGTGTTGCAGGGTTGTAGCTTCTAGATATATTCTTTATACCTTGTTTACTCTGTGGCTAACTTGTGAGGGGTGGTAGTACTCTTAATTTGGAGTTTCCATTTTGAAAACTTCCCTTTCTAATTGTTTCCGCATTTAAAGGTGTTAATTTTCAGAAACGCCTATTCACCCCCCTCTAGACGACATCCTAGGTCCTTTCACCCACTCCATAGCTCAGGTCTCGAGGATCTTCCTTCATCTGATATACAAAGTATCAGTCCACCACAACCACAGGGTAAATTTCCCCTAGCATTGCTGAGTACTCCCTTCGTCCAGTAAAGAATGCAATTCTAGCACAGTGTCGTGGTTTAGTATCTTAAGTTCAATCAATTATAGATAAAAAGTATCAATATTTATGATATCAAATAAATATCATTAGATTAATTATAAAATATATTTTCATAATAAATTATTTTGTAGCTATAAATATGAATAGTATTTACTAAAAATCTAGTCACACGAACTACTTTTGACAGCACGCTGACAGCACGCAACATATAGTTACATTCTTTTGTGGATGGAGTGAGTACATCCTAATGGAAACGTTCGATTCTGCAGATAGCTTGGCCTCCATTGCTGAGTACACCCTAGAATTAACCATTGCTGAGAACAGGCTCCATTAGTTTTTGTTAGATTCCGCCAGAAAACGGCACAACTGACATAGGCCCTCTTGTTTTCTAATCCATACTTTTCGGCTTGGCTTTTTAGCCGGAACAATATTTTTCTCTCACAACAAATCAGCCAAAACAGTGTTTCAGTTTGTTTTTTCAGCGAAGCGAATAAAGCCATAAGCTCATATGACTCCTATATTAGATCAAATATTATAGGGCACAATAGATATCATTTGGACAAAACAGACAACAGCCGCCATGAGTTATCAGCAATCAAGAAGCAACAGACTGCAGTAACACAAGGATTATGCACCGGTATCATCTAGCAGCAAACCTGATCAAATATTATAGGGCACTTCAAATGGAATAGATGTCGCACATCTTATAACAGTCAAACAAATAGTTGCCGAAAGATAACAGAAAAACTAACTGGAACCTGAGTTGATGTCTGGACTCTGGAGAGCCCAAACTATGGATTCATCATTCATATGATGGGCTAGTGTCTACATAGTTGACAGGACTCATGCAACAGAGATGATCCTCAGAAGATACACATAATGCTGAAATTTGTCACACCATCACCAAATCTTTACTCAACAATCTCTGGGCTACACCCAAGTTACGCGGAGTCAGCAGGCTTTGGCTCATCAGGCTTCTTGGCCGGCGTCTCAGTGCCCATCTCAGCTTTGAGATCGTTGATGCTCTGCTCAAGCTCGTCGATCTTGGTTCCCATTTCATCTAGTGCAATGTAGTTAAAGAAACCAGAATATTGTGGCACACAAGTGTATATATATAGCTAATGCCAAAATAGATTTTCAATAACTTCAGCCATTCCTATGTAAGTTTCACAAATAAGTGCTTTAAATTATTAACAAGTAAAATGGTGTGATTGGATCATACTGTGATAGTGCAACGAAAAAACAATCGTGGAACCTCAGTGCACTAGCGGACTCAAGCTTATACTACATGAATATATTAGCGATACCTTAATAAAAAGCTTCAATTTAACCATATTTGAGTTTCTCTTGAACATACTGAGTGTAACTGAACAATGGTCATCGTGCAGTTTAATAAATCATGATGATACAATTATAACAGCAAAAGTGGTATTTTCCTTCAATTCTAATGGAAAGGTTTGCATAAAAAAATCACACAATGTTACTTTTGTAAGAAGTATTCTTTTGCACGTCTCAGACTTCTGCTTTATTCTTTTATAGGCTGGAAAAAATATACTAAGAAAAACTTAACCCAAATATGATCATCATTTTTGTTATTTTGTATCGAGCATGTGCATGCTCCAAGAAAACAATAACTATGGGGCTATAAAAATTTAATATAAAACAGAAGAGCACAAAGAAAAAAGAAACACCAACAAAATAGTTATCAAGGTCAGGAGACAGATTTTCTCAAAATCTAACAAGAATATTGTATGGATAATGGTGTATTTTGTGTGTATGTATAGCTGGTTTGTTTAAGTTTCACTTATAGAACGTTATAAGCTAGCACAAACACACCCCAAAAAAAATATCGTCCATGGGCAATGATTTGTTACCTATATCAGCATCCAAAATGCATATTGGCATTACAGAAGCATGGCATCAGATATTACTATATTAGAAAACATCAAAACAATAATGGCTAAACTGGTAGAAACTATAGTCTCAGAGCTCTACTTTTCACATTTTCTTTGAAAAGACAAACAGAATAAAGATATAATAAAATAAAAGCAGATAAGGATATTCTTTGACACAATGTTCTGCGACATGGACTCGAACCTCGTTTGCTGCAATAGTCAGCGTTCAAGTGAGTGGGAGATGGTGGCAAATTATTTGAAGGAGATGCTAATGAAACCATATCTTCCAAAGGCACTCACCATCTGTCCAAGGAGGTTCTGGACCTGAAATGGAAAGCTAACAATCAGCAATTATATAGACTCCTCCAAAAGAAAAACACTTTTTGGCAGTACAAAACCAAAAAATAAAGTCGAATGTTAATATCTTAACCCTATTTTCTGGCTTTATTAATAGTTCAATTTTGTACTTCATTTTCTTATCTAAATGGTCCAAACTACACTGCCACATGATATTAGAAGCAGTGTTTAGACTTTGTTTAAGAGACCCAGAGTTTATGTTCCATCCCACTACTGTGCCAGAAAACAGTAAAATTTTACATATAAATAATGCATGCTAACAGATTTTATGATGCGTAACCGCATAAAGAATCAGAACTTACAAATGCAGTCATATCTGTTGGGTTCTGTGATGACGGCTCTGAATCCATGTTAGCCTACAATACCAGGTTCAGAAAATGAGTGAACAAACAGCAGTATACCACAGCAGACTTGCATACAAATCAAAATAAACTCTATGCATCAGGATAGCTCTTCAGTTTCCATACCAAGAAATATAAAAGGACCGGAAATAATGAAATTCAAGTCTGGTCATAATTTGTAAGACAACTGTAAAGTTACAAAGTGAACACTATATAAAACTTGTTACAGGGAATACAAAATAGTTTTAATGATGGAAACATTCAACATTCCTAACAGGCAAGTCTATAGCAAATGCCAAAACATTGCGTAGGGGAAAAAATGTAATTATACACTAGAAAAATACCCAGTAAGAAATGGCAGAGCCATGTTACGAGTGCCATTCATCAATGGGATCACAGAGATTCTTATACACATTAAACCTCCCCCTACGAGGTGTCTCCTACTTTCCATTTCTCCCTCCACTGGCTCTCAGCAAGATCAAGGCCAGAGAATTCATGGTCACATTTCAGATTTCTAGTTTCCTCTGCCCTCTTACTGCACATGATACTTGCCAAATCTTGTATTGTGCAGGACGTGCTCCGGCGCATCCTATCAGTGAGCATCTCAAGATCATCTCGCAAGCCAAGCCTGAGCAACCTATCCCTCAGCACCTGACAAGTAGCCTGGTAAGGAGGGATACCGTCATCTACCATCCTCAAAAAGTAACTGCAGGCCTCCTCTGCTCTACCCTTCTTGCAAGAGAGCCCATGGATCATAACAGCGTAAGTAGCTGCTCCTGGGTGGAAACCACGTTTTTCCATCCCATCCCAAACCTCAATTGCCCTATCAACCCTTCCTATAGCAATCAACATTTTCAGAATCATGTTGTAAGAGTGCCGATTCGGCAAACACAAGCCTTCATCCATCCTTGAAATAAGCCGTAACGCTTTGTTCACCTCTTTCAGCTTACAATGTGTATTAAGCAGAGTGTTGTAGCTCCAAACATCAGGCTTCTCCCCATGGGTTGCCATCTCATTGAGGATATTATAAGCCTCGTCAACCTCTCCCAACTCGCACAGTAACCGAATGACAGCATTATAGGTGAATACATTTGGTGTAAGGCTGCGTGCATGCATCCTATCTAGCACACGAAGAGCAGCACGAGCATCCTTTGACGCACATGCTGAACGAAGGAATGGGCCATAAGTAGCAGCATCAGGGGCAAGCCCACGGCTGCGTTGCATATCTTTTAGCTGCTCCTGTGCAAGCGCAACATCCCCTCCTCGACACAAGGCGTCAATCAACGCGTTATAGGTAGGCACATCAGGCTGGACCCCTCTCTCAATCATTTCGTCAAACAGCTTCTGAGCCTTCTCTGGCTTCGCAACAACAGCCCACCCAGAGATCAGGATGGTATATGTTTTGGCCGAGACATCAAACTGAAGTGGCGACTCCCTAAAGAATGCCTCGGCGTGTTCTACCAGGCCATTATGCGATAACGTGAAGAGCAGGGAGTGCAGATCAGCGACCGTCGGCAGGAAACCGAACCCCTCCATGGAGGAGAAAGCTCGGATGGCGTCGTCGGGGAGGCCGGCGCGGGCGTACGCGCGGAACAGCAGCGGAAACAGGTCCCGCGAGAGCGCGGGTCGCGGGAGATCGGAGAGCAGGGAGCGCAGAAGCGGGAAGAGCCGCGCCCCCGCGAGCGAGCCGGCGAGGATTAGGAGCGACTCCGGAAGGTGGGTGAACCCCGGCAGCGCCGCGGCGAAGAGGAAGAACCGGAGCGAGGGCACGGGAAGGTTGCGGCAGCGGCGCAGGACGGCGGCCGCGGCCGCGGGCGTGAGGCGTGGCGCGAATCCGTTGAGCGCGGCGCGGAGGTCGTGCCGCGGCCCGCGGAAGTCGCTGAGCACACGGCAGAGCGCGCCGACGAGCCGCGGGTCGGGGTCGGGGTCGGGGTCCGGGGCCGTGTGGGGCCGCGGATCCGGCTGTCCGGCGGGCGAGGCGGAGCAGAGGCCGCGCAGGAGGAGGAGAGAACGCGGGCTTCGCGGCGCGGCCGCAACGAGAAGCCTGGCGGCAGATTGCATCTCGCGCGATGTGGGCGCACGGAGCTGTGCAGTGGGAGCAGATTCGTGGGTGACGCGAGGATGCACGAGTTCAAGCAAAAAAAGACACGGGAGATGAAGCTGAAGAGGGGCTGCGAGGCGGCTTACCGGGGAAGCGCGGGTCGTGGAGGAGGAGGAGCTCGCCGGCGGCCGGAGGAGGAGGAGGAGATAGCGGTGAGCGTGGGTGCGGCTTAGGTAGTTTGTATACGAGGGGAAGGGGAGAGGACGCAGGAGCGGAGAGCTGAAAAAGAGGCGTAAGCGTAACGAACTATCGATGGCAAGCGGGCCCGGGTCGCGTGGGCTGCCGAAAGCGAGCTACTCCCTCCGTCCATCGTGTCGAGATTTAGAATTGCGTTTTTTTTTTCCACGGAGGGAGCAGGCAGGGTTTCGAAATTTGTTCGCGGGAAAAGAGTGCTCGCGTGGTGGGCCCTGCAAGTTGGAGCCGCCGTGGGTGTTTTGTTATGCGGGCCACTGCCGTCACGTCCGTTTTGCCAGGCCCAAGTTTGGCCCAGTTCCGCTCATTCGTGCTTCTAAACAACAACAACAACAACATTCAACCACCTGCAACAGCGGTTGCTTTGCTGTGCAGCTGTCGGTGGCACGGTGCGCCGGCCCGGCAATCAGCGGACGGCCGGGCGGAAGAACCGAGAACGTGCAAGCCGGTCGATGGATTTTGCACAAAGCAGTGGCCTGGCCGGGGCCGGGCGGAAGAACGTGCAGCCGGTAGATGGATTTTGCACGGGAGTGCGGGGCCACGACGCTCCTGCTTGCGCTCATTCTCAGGACCGGCGTGCCCCGGTTACTTTATCGATCGATTCTTTTTGTTTGTCACTTTTTTTCTTTTGTTTTCCCTTTGCTCTGTTACTAATCTGGTCATCCATTGGCCCTGTTCTGCAGCTTATTTTTCGGCGAGTCAACAGTGTTTTATTCTACAATATTTTAACACAAGCAGCAGTATAAGCCAAATTTCAACGAAACGAACAGGAACATTAAACCCTTGCGTATAGCACAGTTAAATTTAAAGCTACCTAGAAGATTTTTCTTTTCTTATATGCAGTTGTATACCCACAACTTTTAGCAACAAGGTGAATATATATCGAACATGCACGTCAGAATACAACCATTTAGGCCTTTGGTTGAGCTGTGAATTTTAAAAAAGCTGCTGTGAGCTATGGGCTGTGGAAAAGCTGCTGTGAGCTGAGAGCAGTGGGAAAAGCTGAAAGTCGTTTGGTTGGAAGAGCTGTGAAACTGCAGGTTGTGTAAGAAATGTCTATAATGCCCTTAAAGGCCTGAGAGACTATTTATATGCAAATTACTCGTAAATAACTGTTGCACTCACTTATTCGCATGTAAATAATTATTTTGGAAAGGAAAAATTAATTTATTCTAAGTTTTTTATCATTCAAAGTGATATAGGCCCCGTTCGACCGCTCGATTTTGTGGCTGAAACCGGCTGGAGCTAGTTGGGCCTCGTGGCCCAGGCGAACACCAGCTGTTCGACTGCTCTACAAGACCCGGCTACCGCCATCCTCACTCTCTCTCCTGTCTCGCATTCGGTCACGCGCTTAGGGTTCCCCCGCTCCCAGCTCTCGCCGAGGTGACTTCTTCGCCCGCGTCGTTAATCCCGCATTGCCATCGGACGCCCTCCGTCCTAAACCCCTCCCATCCCTTGGGCCTGAGAAGGAAGGCGACATCCACACGGGGCGTCTCGTCGGATTTGGTTTGGCGTCGCCTTCTCCGAGTCACCGCTTCGTCGTCGCCGTCTTGCCAAGCAGATCCAGCCGATCCGTCGCCGTCGGTGGGAGATCCGCCCTTTCAGGTACGTGGTCCACACCATGCCTTCCCCTTAATCGTTGGTCGGTGACCATCCTTGCTGTTAGGGTTTATAAATCCTTGATTCCCTACTTTTATTTCAGCTGGAACCGCGGACGCCGCCTTCCAAGGCACCGGATTCGTCACCTTCTCCTGCTTTCGCCCTCCTTGCTACGCCATTTTCGGTATGTTCCCGTCTTTTTCATCCCATTTTTGCTACACACTTCCAGATCCGCTTCGTTAGGGTTGAGGTTTCTGCTCCCAGGTGTGGAAGGCTAAGTATAGACGGATTGTTAGGGAAACATAATCCTTGCACATCCGTGACATTGAGGGTTAGCATAAACTCCATTATTTTTTATTGTTTTCATTTAGCCTTGGCTCCCCTGGTTTCTCATGTAGTTCAATGTTGGATGTGTTGCATGCCTGTAACTCTAGTAGTTCAGCTTACGGCTTATAAATAATGCATCAATGAATGAATCACATGTCTTCTTCGGGTTGTTTCAAATTTCTTATTGTTCGTCACATTACTAAATTTTAGGGTGATTTAATGATACTTGTGATGTACCTACATTTGGTTCACGCCTAAATCTCCCAGTATCTCAAAATTTCGATATATTAACCAATGTTGGATGTCACTTTGTGTTCTTCCTATACAAATACAAATCATGACATCGAGTTTATTTTGAACGTCAAGTCTACATTGGAGTTGTGCCATGTCGCTTTCTGTTTGAAAATTCTTACATACAGATACACTAGTTCATTACATTGATGAAATGCATTTTAATGTCAGTGAGTAGGTTACTTCTTTTATTACTCTTATAATATGTTGTTAGTATAATACACATACAGTTTTTATTCCGAATTTAGACATTGAGGCGGGATTACTTTGGTATACATATAGCTCTGACAGATTCGCATGTTTATCATGTAGGTGTGATCTTTCTAAGTCTATATACTGGCACCATCGTCAACAACTTCCTGCTCCCCGCCGGAAGCCACTCGGTACAACTTGCGTTCCAAGCGCGTGAAGCGAGAAATTAAGGCAAGTACACAATTTTGTCCATTGCATCGTGTTTTAGTTCACCCATGCATTCCTTTAGTTTTTTTGCGGTACCATTACTATGTCCAGCCACAAACGACAATAGCCCTTCCACGTTCCAGCAGATGCCTCCGAAGCGTGCAACTTGGAGTGAGGATGACACCAAGCTGTTGTTGGACCTTTGTCTTCAAGAGAAGGAAAAGTTTAACTTCAATCAGCAGGGTCTCACCACGACTGGCTGGAACAACAATTACACTAACTTCCCCCATTATGATAAGAAACAGTGTAACAACAAACTAGAATCCCTCAAAAAAGCTTACCTGACATGGAAAGATGAACTCACAGCCACTGGGCTTGGGAGGGACCCCCGTACAGGCGACATTGAAGCTAAACCTGAGTACTGGGAAACTCAAGCAGGTTCCCAGCCCATGACATCAATATGTTATCTTGTTAACAGTTCCGATTACATTGGTTACATTGTTTAACATTATGCACTATGCTTTTTTTTGTAGGATGATAGTCTGCCTGAGGTACGACGTGGTAGGCAACCTCGCTTCCTGGACCAACTTGAGGCACTATTTGGGGACCGCAACCGGAACACGGGCTGCTTCATGTCCGCTGGTGGTATTCGTGAATCGACGCCTCCTGCTACTTTGCGTCCAATAGACTTAGGCGGGCCATCCAGTTACCATTCTGGTTCAAAGAGGGAGCACATCACGGGATAGAGAGCGGACCCGTGAACAGGCCGAGGTTGATGAAGCTATGCAACTTTTACGAGAAGATGGTGTGCCATCCACTTCAGACATGTTCTTCTTGGCAACGGTGTTGTTCAAGGACTCAGTAACCCGGCGGGTGTTTAAGAATCTGCTGACAGCTGAAGAACGTATGGCTTGGCTGACATATCACATGAACAGGAACAACAAGTAGTTCAGCAGCTAGGATGTTGAGTTTGGTGTGAAGCAACAGTGGCATTTGAGTGTCGTCTTTTATCCTTTATATTCATTATTGTCCTAGTTATGTTGAGGTTTTTGTCTTGTAATGGGGCCCGTGGCCAAAACCATGTGTCGTATTCTTTTTCCCGAACTCGTTATAAGTTGTGTGATGTGATGTATTTGCTTGAGCTACCTGACATTATTCGGTTGTTGAAGCTAACAAATATTGCATTATTAACAGATGCTATAATTGTTCTTTATTTGAACAAATCATAACGGGGTACTTGTGTTCCAGGTACCTGTGGGACTGATTGAAGGGGTCATTAGTGATTGGCGAGCCTAAAGTTGTGTATGCAAATTGTATTCACAAGTCATGCTTAATATACTGTTGGAATTTACTTACCAACGTTGGTTTATATTTTTCCTTGGTAGCCTGTTGGAACATGGACAACAGCGATGAGGACAGTCAAAATTCAAGTGAAAACAATTTCAACGAGATGGTTACTATAGCTATGGCTGGAGGCTATGCATATATGTACATGCTGCAGCTACCACCACAAGGTAACCATGTTATCTCTGTGCCTGAGCCTATCGGAAGATAGTGGGTAGATAAGCTATTGTCAGATGCTGGTAGGTGCTTTGAAAGCTGTCGAATGCGGCCTAAAAATTTGGTTAGGTTGCATAGCATACAACGTGATAGCTATGGGCTAAAAGACAGTAGGGAGCTTGAATCCATTGAAGCTTTAGCCATGTTTCTATGGGCATGTGGTACAAATCAATGCCAGAGGCAAATGCATGAGAGATTTAGGAGGGGCTTGGGGACATGTAGCAAGGTATTTTCCCATTGTCGGGTTCATAAACCCGGGGTCCCTCGTGGACCGGCTTCCCAACAAAAACTTGTCCCAACAGACAACGTTGCGAGCAAGGTGCAACTCATGGGCCGGCCCAAATACCTAGATAACAGGCCAGAAGGACGATCCAATCTCCGACCGGAAGGCCTGGCCGAGGAGGAACGGCGCCCGCTTCCGACTTCGGCCCAGATCTCCGACTGGAGCGCTCGCTTCGGTCTCCAGCCTGCCTCCGGACGGTCTCTTCGACTGGAAGGCCTGGCCGAGGAGGAACGGCGCCCGCTTCCGACTCCGGCCCACCTCTCCGACCTGAGCGCTCGCTTCGGTCTCCAGCCCGCCTCCGGACGGTCT